TCTCAGCTGGAGTCCACTGGGCATAGTTCAGGGCGAGGGAGTTCGCTGGTCCAGGAACTCCAGGCATTAGCTTCTCCCCAGGGCAGATAGAGTGTAGATTTCACAAAGCAATTTCAGACCAGTCCAGTTGTACAGTAAGAACTATCGCCCCACTGAGGGAGCATTGCTGGAAAGGAAACGATGTGTAAACAGCAGGCAGGCATCCTGAACTTCCAGTCAGCTGGGCAAAAAACACAGGCGGACTTACAACTTTCCCAGAATGTTCAAAGCGTTTTACAACTGTCCCATTGAAATAGCTACGTAGGAATGATGAGGTGCCCTCACCCCCTGAGGAAACAGAAAGGGTTCATTTGGGCTCTTCTACAGGAGGCCACGTTGGTTTCATTGGGGGCTTAGCTATTTTTTATGTATTTACTCTTCCAGGCATGCTAATTGCTTTCTGGTGAAATTGAATATTTAGAGGAAACCTCATTTTAAAAATATTTGTCAGTGCATATATAGGCAATTAGAGAAATCAGTATAACCTATAACATTTTAAGAATGTGCAAAGCTCTTCTAGAAACTTAGGCCATTTCTCACTCCTTGAGATTTTGTGATTTTATTGCACTTAATCTACAAATTAGTAGCTGACTGAAGAATACCATGTGAACAATTTGCTCTGCTTCTGGAGATAGTTAACATCCTAAACATGTGAGGCAGTAACAACAGGGGTTTTGAAAATGTGACTCACTAACTTTTACCAGGCATGGCGCCTACCATGTCTTACAAATCAAGTTTACTTTCAATTTCAATAGCAAATGTTCCTTAGAAAGATCACCCTCTTGCTGACGGGACTTTACTCTTGGGCATGAGTAGGATACTTACGGTTTAATGAGTGACATCATCATGGCATTGCATTGGAGTTCTCATAAAGCTTTTCTCAAGAGCTTCTGTTAACGTATAAGCAGCCTCTTCTACCATCTTCTGAAAAAACCAGCTGTTTCTCTCTCTCTCTTTATTGTGTATATTCCCACAGAATTCATTAGGATGCACTGTACCTCCAACCCCGACTGGTGGATGCCCTCGGAGGAGCAGATAAACAAAGTGTTCAGCGATGCTGTGGGTCACGCCCGGCAGGGGCGCGCGGTGGGGACTTTCCTGCACAATGGTGGCTCGTTTTATGAAGGGATCGATCACCAGGCCTCCCAGGATGAAGTCTTCAGTAAGAATTCCCAGGATGGGTCTGGGGATTAGTGGACAAAACCTTTCCATTGCAGCAGCCGGTCCTCTCCAGAGTCGCCATTGTGACTGTCTTGTCTCCATCACTGTAGAGCCCACAGCATAGCATCTGTCAGAATGTACATCCTCACTCTTAACTCTCTTGACCTTCTGTCGCAGTTCCCAGATCGAAATCCATTTTAGGGTTGTTGGGAAAGTCTGTGCAGCCTACCACAGATTTTCAGAATACTATATTATAAAAAGTAAAGGCTACCATTGATTTTAAAAGATTACATGGTGAGGATGAGGGGGTGGAGACAAACTCCTGGTCACCTGTCTGAAATCTTCATGTAAGTTCTGCTTCCTGCGCAGAGCTGGTCCTTATGGAAGATTGGGCTGCGTTCCTGCCCACGAGGGAAGGTAGAGACATGGGTTACTATGGAACAAGCATTCTCTTTAATTCAAATAAGTCATTTTTATGTTTTCCAAAGACTTGAATTCATGCTTCTCAGCAAAGATATCAGATAGGTGACATAATATGCTGTGTCTCCATTGACAGAGCCTATTATTAAATAGAAACCAGAGAACAGAGGCCATCTCTAGACAGTGATTAGTTGAAAGTCAGCTATTTTTCTCAATTATTTTTACCAAAAAAGTCCTACCATGTTGATCAGGAAGGCACTAGATGATCTCTGGAGTTTACAGAGAGTATTAGTTTTCATTATGTCAGTCAAGAAACATCCAAAGATCCCAACCATTGTTAAATGCTTGATTTTGTAGGTTCCAATAACCTAAAGTCAGGCTCTGTTGACACAATGCCAAAGTGGCGGGTTAAACAATGAGAATTTCAGCCAGTCGTTTGGTGCACTGAAGACCAAACAAGTGGTGTGACTGATGGTATTGACTGAGTTGACCAGATGTTCTAGAATTGCGTACACACAGCTTCAAGGCCATTCTGACAACTATGCAATGGGCTTGTCTAATTTCTCTGAAACTTGAGGGTCTTTCTGTGCTCAGTTGATCTTTAGAATTTGCATAAAACTTATGTTTCTCGTTGTCACTGATGAAAATTGTTTCTTCCCAACTGTGAGTGCCTGCTTCCCCCAACATTCCCCTGAGCTGATTGGTTGAGTCTCACGTGTGAAATCAGTAGTGTCTTTGGAGCCATTTCTTACCCAGATGCTGCAGAGAGGCGAGGACCAGTTCTGAGGGCCTCGGGTTTGGACCTCAGACTGATGCCGATGCCACGTCCTTTGTAAGCAAAGGGCTGAGTGGACAGCATTGTTGAAGGCTGTTAATGTCATCTACAGACGGGACTATAAAGATTTTGGAAATTCATTTAAAGTTTATGAGCATCCATTTATAAAGTAGTTATTTTTCCCATTTTTTTCTTAAAGTAAAATAATATTCCTTTATGTTCAATAATTTGCATCAACTAAATTGCAAAGGCCTAGAAATAAGTCCGTCTTTAGCTTTTTAAATAGTTTCAACCACTGAAAAGTTTAATGTTTATAGAGATGGTCATTTGTCAGACCTGTAAAGTTGTGGGGGGGGAGAACTAATATTTTGATCCTATATTGGAAAAGTTACCTAAAATTTTGAGAGGTTTTTTTTGTTTGTTTGTTTGTTTTTAAGAAATGATAAGGGCAAATGGGATGTTGTTTATGGGAACCATGCGACTAATATTTGGCTATACAAAGGAAAAGGTACTTCTTGAGGAGTTTTAAAGGTCTAGGAAATCAATATTTTGTAAGATTCTTTGGTGACATGAAATCTTGGCCAGAAGAAAAATAACCACCATAACCTCATCTGTCAATCCATCTTCCTTTTTCTTTTTTTGCACTGGATTTTGTTATCCATACTGCTGAGTACATGTCCCCTTTCACCTCATAGCAGCAATATTTGACCACTGCTTTTGTTTTTTAGGAAGAGAGTGGAAGGGAGAGGGAGAGACAGAGAGAAACATCGATGTGAGCAAGGCACATCTATTGGTTGCCTCCTGTATGCAGCCCCACCAGGGCCAGGGAACCTGCAACCAAGGCATGTGCCTTTGACTGGAATCACACCCTGGGGCCCTGCAGTCCGCAGGCTGATGCCCTATCCACTGAGCCAAACCTGCTAGGGCTGCCCACTGCTTTTAAAAGCAATCAGCTCTTACCATTTTTCTGTAATCTTGAGAATTGCACACATCCTCACATCTCAGCATCACCTGGTGTGTGCTCACCTGTGCTGTGCTGGTCTTCGCTGATGCTGACGCTGAGAGCATGTCTGCACTCTCCATGGCCTTATGTGCCAGTGTGCTACTGATGAAGTGCTGGCCCCACTCCCGTTACCATCCGCTGAAGAAGACGCCTTGGAAGGCTCTGCTCCCCAGCCACCTGGTTGCACACAGCCTTGCTCCAAAGGCTCACCTGGTCTCTTGCCTCTCATGCCCTTTCCAGGTGAACTATTTCTGTATCAGCTGTTCTCCAATATTTCACAGATTGCAAAATGCTGGAACTTCATGTTGGCCCAGAAAGATGACTGAGCATCAGACAGCCCGTTCTGATGCCTCTCCTGGAACTAGGACCTGCTACCCCCTGCCCCTGGTCAGATGTTCTGTTATGTTCTTCACTGCCCGTGTATTCCTATTCCTTTAGCCCAGCCCACCCAGAGGCTACAGCACGCTTGGGCTATGACACAGGATCTGCTTCGATAATTCTGCTGGCTCCTTGGTCCGTGTCCCATGCCATCCTCTAGGCTTCCCCTTTAAGGCTAGTATCGTAGCTGGTTCATGGTGGTTGCCTGCGTGGGCACCTGATTTTTAAAGCAGGGCTTGCAGAGATGGCTCACCTACCTTTCTGCAGGATCAGCATGGCCACTATGTAGGACGGTTAAAAGCTCGCTGTCCCTGCTGTCAGCCTTCCCGTTGATCTCTTTGGAGGCCTGAAGATGTTGCCTGTTTTCTTGATTTAATTTTCTGCATCTTTGTCTGGAATTGGACAAAGTGTTCTCATGACAAGAAACGTCGACTCGGCTTTTAGAATCTTCCTTGAGTCGGTGGAGCATGAGTATAAAACAGATCGAGTTAACACAGCTCCGGGTGCAGCTGGGCTCCACTGCATTGGCGAGAGGGGGGCTTGCAGGCCTGGCCTGACACCGACGACGAACGTGATGTCTTTGTCAGTGACCGAGTGTGGGCCATCACCCAGCTGTCGGAAGTGCCCGTACCTTCCAACAGTGACAGCGTCTTGATGTGTCTCGAGTTTTTCCAAATTAAAACCTGTCACAAAGCGTACCTGCTTTCCCAGTGACCTGTAGTCCCGCTGGGCTCGGGATAATAGTTCAGTGTCTGGATTGGAGGACGTGGGCCAGGACCTTATGGGAACTGTAGTCTATGCGGAGTTGCTGAAGTCACATTTCTCACTGTCCCTTGGAAGGTGCACTGCTCAGAATTTTAACGGTTAACCTCAATGCCAAGTGCTTTGGAGATAAACGCTAAACATTAAAGTTCGCACCATCCCTTTCTGCCTGAAAATATTTCATCCAGCCCTCGAACCCTGGCATCCCTCTCTTGTTCCTCATGTGCACCACGGCGTTTAGGTTATTGTCACCGTCGGTGTTTCATAGGCGTCGCTAGGGACGTAGAGGATAATATTAGAGCATCTGCAGAAGATTGCCCTCACCCCCTTCGGTAGGGGGGCCAGAGGTACATGGAGCTGCTTCACAGCTGTAGATGTGGATACTTGTATAGTCTGGGTCTTGCTTAGCCCTTCCCAAGTCATAAAAACATTGACCTTAGAGATACCTTCATTAGGATTAGAGGGAGGTTTAATTATTACACTATATTTGATCTAGCTACTCCATGTGTCCAATATCAGTAGAATGGTGTCTTCAGTCCAGTAAATGTCAGATGCTTTCCCCAAATCTGGACAGTACTCCAAGCTTGGGAGTCTGCCCGTTCATGATTTCTACATTTTTCTGCCACCTTTAATGGCTTTCCCTCCCTTCTGTTGCTGTCAGAATATGGATGAAGCATCAAATAAGATGAAATGTGCACTAGTTTCAGAAAAGCAAACATAGCGTAGCCTTTATTTAGGTTCTGTCGTTTATTCTATGCTCCAGAACTTGAACCTAATACCCACTGACTACCTCCTTAGTTTTTTCTTAGATCTTAATCATTTTTTAAAAATCTCATTCTTAGGTAACTTCGTTTTTAGAAAATATTTAAATGTATAACTTCTCATTCGGTACTGTGTCATTTCACAGTACAGAGCTGTGTGATATTTGACAGCTCAGATACAAATTTTTAGAAATGTAATAGAAAATGATTTTGCACATATGGTGCAAGTCTGGCGTATGTCTGTTTAATGTGGCAACACTTAACCAAAACTGCCTGGCAAAACATGTCAAACGGAATGCTTGAGTCAGAATTCTAATGTAAATGTGTCTAAACAGCAGTGTGTATCATTATGATATATTTTTGTAAACATGCTTCTTGCAGTGGTATAAGTACTGGATAAAAATAACCACTTTGCTTAGAATAATTAGGAAAATGTCACCCAGCTGATGGCCCTCTTGCATTGTCAGCCAGTGGCACTGGCTCTTCTATTTGTGTTGATTTTTAGAGGAGAATGAGGAATTGATACCAGACAACGTGGAGTGCAAAAATAATAACCCATCCATATTTGCCTCCTTATATGTAAAATTTAAAGTTGTAACATATATTTGCAAGTGAGAGACCATTTTTACCCTCCACTGTATATTCATTTGTAAAAGATATTGAAAGGAAGGACTTTGCTCATCTAATGACTAGCTTGATCAGTTTGGCTATTAAAACCTCTAAATTACCAATATTTGTGGTAAAAGTGACCAGTTTAATTTTTCTCGTGACCATCCATAGCTGGTAATATAAGGGCTAGATTTTCATTGAATCACACTTCCCCAGATTGCAATGAAAATACATTTGCTAATGAGACTTGTTCGAACACCAGTTCATTCTCAGAATAACTGCACCAGTACAAGTGGCCCCATGGGTCTTCGCCTTGTTGGAAAACTGAGGCCCATCCAAAACCGCTGACAACAACAGTAATGACTATCGCTAATGTTCATTGAGTTCTTGTGTGCCAGGTGCTTTGCTAAGGCTGTTACTGTTATCACCATTTTATTGATAAGGACACTGCCTGGGATGCTCAGCTAATAAAAGGATCAATTTGGGCTCATTAAGCAGAATGCCTAGTTCAGTTTTCCCCGTAGTCAAAGTTCTCAAAGCCCAACCCTTTGGAATGGATTTGTTCTTTTATTTATGCCATTGAGGGAAAGTTGATATGTGTTATTATTTAAAAACCAGCTTTTAAAGTCCGTTGACGCTTAAGTAGGAGCACATAACCATATATCCTCTGGGAACTGCCAAGGTTTCTGCATAAGGATTCACTCACTTAAGATCCTGTGATGAAGAGTAAAAAGTCTTTTTAAAAAGTAGTGAATAAATTTAAATCTTTTATTTGTTCAGATTTATTCTATACTTTCCCAGTATAAAAATGCAGGGATATAAGAGCAAAAATTCAAACTGAGCGAAGTGATATTTTCTAGATGTTAGAAACGGCATCAGTTAGCCAATGTTCCATTTGCTTCTCACATGTGTTGTAGCCTTAGAATTGGTGAGTCTGGTTGGAAAAGAGGGTTTTAATTTTTGATGTCACTGTGAAAACTGTTGTGAAGTTTTTGTAGGGAAATACAGTAACCTGTTGATTCTTTCCTGTGGTTGTGGCTTTAACATCTCTGTCTGTGTTTAAGTTCAAGAGCATGTCAAGGCCAGGAAGGCATGGCTTGTGTTTCTTGGAAACAGGGCATGCCACACCCAGAGATGGGTCCTGAAACGTTCCAAGTCTCTGGCCCGGCCTGCCCCTGCCCCGTTTAAGCATTGCCTTTATGTCTCTCCTCTGGAACTTCATGTAGCAGCCTGGCACTGGGGCCAACTTGCCTTTACTCTGTTTTCTATGATGAACACTTGTGGAGAAACTGTGACAGATCCATTGATCCTGATATTTTTATTGTTGGAGTCTTGGTTGATTCTCTATGAATCACTTCTATTTGATTGTACTGTGTAGAGTTAATGCCCACTAGGGACAAGTTAATAAAACTATAAATGCATAGTGTAATATAGAATAGCAAGATTTTTTTGTGAACAATTTATATAGAAGAGTAAGTTGTTTTTTAAGTGTTAGGCGCATTTCTTTTAGGAACTTA